AAAACGAGGGGCGGACACGCCGGGGTCCCGCGGGGAGGCGGGAAGGCGCCTGGCACCCCGTGGGGCCCCAGCACCCGCCACCCACACCGCCCTGAACGCCGCGCTGCGGGTGCTGCCCTGGCCCGCGCCGGCCTCCCCCGCGTCAGCTGAGAGCTCGGGTGCTAACGGGAGAGACGGGGGCGCACATCAGAATGGGGACGCTGGGAGGATCCACTTTATATGGGTGCCATATTGAATAGTGTTTGCTACAGTTTCACTCATGGCTTTCAAGATGCATCTGATCCTAGCATTCTTTGCTGGCGCGTTTACATCTGTCATCAACAGCTATCAACACCGACAGTGCCCCATGAGATCGTGCCGCCTTGCACGCTCACTCGGGTGACACCGCTGTTTTGCCGGTCACTGCCGTTAGCCCAGGTCCTCCCTCTGGCCCCCGGTTTTCTTGCTCAACATAGAGGTCAAGCGCTCACACATCTTCACGGGCAGAAAGCATCATGTAAAAGACTGCAAAGTATTTTGAAACTCTTGAAACTCATTAATTTGAAAAAGTGTTTGAGTAGCTTTAGGCCCCAGGGACAGGGCACGTGGCGGTGACAGAACTTGCCTTGTGGAGACAGCCAGTTGGTCACATAAACCACAACTGACGGTTGACAAGGAGAGGGCTGTGACATCGTGCAGAGAGAGGTCTGACCGGATGGCCGTCCTGGGGAGGGCCGAGATCAGGTGCAGAAGAGGTGCCTTGGGGTGGGGGCGGCCATCAGAAGTGGGGCCGGTGTGGCTCTGCCTCGGAAACCGGGCGGAACGCTCTCTGGTTTTAGCTCTGAAAAGATCTGGCCCCCGCCTGGGGGTGAGGAGGAGATCTGGGGAACCCTAAAAGCCCTGGCGATGGATGAGGCTGTGAAGAACATTACACGTGAGACAGTGATGCTTCAGACAGCTGCGCCCAGAGCTTCTGCCCGACAGGTCCAACCCTCTGTTACTCAGCTTTTCCTAAGTGTCATCACTTCGTGTTAAGTTAGTTTTAAGTTACAGGCATGTAAATGTAGTATTTGGTGTTGAATAACTCCATTTTACTTACGTGTTCTGTAAATAAAACACTTTCTCATGAAGTTTTGTAGTTTAGAATAGAATTAGAGTTTAAACACATGTCTCTTCTCCGTTCCTATGAAAACATTCTGATTCCTTTTGAGTATATGTAAATGGTGAAGAAAAATAGCAATCATTTGTTAAAATGTCAGAAAGATATTGAAACAGGTATGATTTTTTAAATGGCTAAATGACCTTTAAAGGTGGATGTCTGTGGCCTCTGAATGGCCGAGGTGTTACGTGCCACCTGCTGAAGGGGGGTCAGCCAGGAGCTTCCTGTAGAAGGAAGTTAGTGTATTTTTGACAATATCTCTGTTTTTATTTTAGTTAATAACTAATAGAAATTTCCTTTTCTACTGTTAAAAAATCCTGGATTTTAAACTGTTCTATGTATTGATGAGGACTCAAATTGTTTGGTTTACTTCGATTCAAATACATATTCAGTTTCTGCTAAAATGATGATCATAGCTAAGGCGCTTTGAGATTTTTCTTATAATCAAATGAACTATCCTGATTTTAAATCACCAAGAATATTGAATTTAAATGGTGCAATTTAAAGGCTGCGGATCAAGAAAGGCGTGCACCCCCTGCCGGGAGAATAAGACGCATCCAGCTAACTGTTCTTGGCCTTTAGCCAGACTCCGCCGCTGATGGAATCTGCCCGGAAGTCATGATAAGGGTGCTCACTACCGATTCCGCGTGACAGTGAGAGAGCGGGTGACGATGCCGTGCCCAGGGAACAGCGAAAGGGGTGGTCGAATCGTTGCAGATATAGGACAGGCCATCAGTTAACCATAAAGAAGTGGGTATGAAATTTTCACGTAGGAAAATGTTTATGATACGAAGAGAACAGAATGTTAGGTTATAAACAATATGCAGAGAAAAAATGTTGACAGTGGTTAGTTCTAAATTGTACAATTATGGTTGATTTTGACCTTTGAATGAAGAATATGATTTATTTTATATGCAGGAATCATGTTTTTTACAATGAGAGCCTCTCACTGACCCCTTTTTTAGGTGGTCAGGTCTGTTTTACTCAGCCTTGGAGAGTGGGGAACTGGCCGATTTTTTTGAAAGCGTTTCCCCTTAGCCTGCCAAGATCTCCTCGGCGGAGAGGGCGCGGGCGACCTCGGAAGGCAGCACAGCGCCCGGGCACCTGCCTGCCGGTTTGGTGCGGAACACGTGTCAGAACATTCCCACCGGACAGATGCAGCGCGTCCTCCGGACACTGAGACCGGACACGTTGACTTGGAATGCAGTCATTTAAAAAGCAGCTTCGACCAGAGAACTGGTTATGGGCTTTTTGAAAAGCATGGCGGAGCTTCGGGTTCAGAACAAACAGCCGCGTGTGGCTTCGCTGTCCCTCCGTGGTGGCCAGCGCTGGGCGCCCCCGGCCGTGTCGGAGCCGCTTCGCTGTGGGGCCCGTCACCGGCTGAGTTACTCCTACCGCAGCGTCTCTGTTCTGCTGATCTTTTACTTTGCTAGAATGAATTTTTAAATACTAGAAGTCGGAACTCAGGTTATATAGATTATTACTCAAAAAGTAAATTTTTTATTTTGTTACATTTTCAAGTGACTGGATTCTGTCTTCAAGTCTGTAAGAAAAAAAAACTGGAATGAAGTAATAATTGCCTTATGTACCAGCTAACACACAGTTAAATAAACGAGTCCAAGCTTTCAGTAAAAGTACCTTAATTTCCTGTAATTAGTAAAACATCTTTTGTATAGGAAAAATTCAGTGTAGAGAAAAACATAAATGTTAAGTGATCCTCATTTTCGTCGGAGTCAGCATGGACCCGCAGCCCAGCCGAGTGGACGGTGCTGGGTCAGCATTCCATCACCGACCGTCGTCGCCCGTGCCCGGGCGCACTCTGGGCCTGCGCGGGCCGGTCCGCACCGGCCGGAGCAGGGAGGTGTTACAGACTCAGCTTAATGCGGAGGCTGATGAGGGGCCTGATCTTTCAGAACATGGGTCCGTAGCTTTTAACACTCGGGGTCATGGCCTCCCCCCACTCACCACTCCCCACAACAGGGACAGTTTAGGAGGTCTGCGGGGTTCCCGGAGATCCACACCCCAGCCCTGACTTAGTGCCACCAACAGGCACAGGCCGAACAGATCTGAACGTACTTAGGCCCTTCTTCTAATGTCAAAGGCATTAACAGCTTCACACACTTAGATCTGTGACCTCTCACGCTGCTTTAAGTAATGACTATGTGTCAAAAACGTGACGTTTGGATACCTATTTAACCATTTAATTTGATGCTTCATATTTAGTGTGTTTTGACCAAACTTAAAACAGCCAGCTGGAGTCTGGGTGATGAAGGGAAGGGACTGTGTCACCATGCTGTGCCCGGCGGTGTGCCAACGCTGGGGATGGCATGGAAGCTGGCTCACTGGTTCCTGTCCTCGGGCCCTGGCATATCCCCTATCAGCCCGCAGTGGCCAGAGGCCTTGGTGTCCAGCTGGCTGGAGAGCAGACGGGAGCAGTCTGGTGCAGCCTGAGCCTGGGAAGCTGTATTTTTCACCCGGTGGACAGAATTTCAGAGTGCCCGCCCCAGTGCGTAGCAGGACATAGGGTGCAGTTACCTTTTTCACCAGAATACCAGGTGTAGGTAATTGCAAGTCGCTGACAGTGAACTACCTCTGACTTAGCAGGTACGTACGTACGGATAATTCGCCAGCTGACTTAGAGTAACACTTGTGAAGGAATTGGGAAAACGAGGAAAGCGAAAGCACCTAATTGACTAAAATGTGCCCTCTGGTCAGACCGCGATGCCAGCTCGTGTGCTTGAGCATCTCGGGAAGAGGACGCGCCCCCCGCTCATGCCGCACGGACCTAAATCCAGCTGAGACCCGAAGCCCAGTGTTCGTTCACGTCTTTAAGATTAAAGGCAGAGTTACCCTGGAAAGGTGTTTGCATTGTGGGGGGTCGGGGTGGGGTCCTGCAGACCACCCGAGAATGTACGTGTGTCACCTTTACAGGGTTCCCCGACTATACTGTCTCCAGCGGAAGCTGCTAGTTGCAACCCCCAGTCTTCACGTCATCGCGATTTGTGTTTTGACTGAAGACTAATTTGAGGGGTGGGAGTAAAACGTCCTTTAATAAAATCCAGTTTTCGAATCATAGAGTTTTTCATTTAAAATGTGCATTTTTAAAGGGATTAGGAGAGTGTTTCGGATGGCCTATTTGGAAGAGAACATTTGTGAACGGCTTTTGTCATCCCTGAGTTTCCGTGTGGCACAGAGGCAGTAATTCCCATCATGGACAAACATGGGGATTCATTTTTCAAGGTGAAGGTCATCGTAAAATCTGCAGAAAGTAAACTCACTTGGTTTCCTAGTGAGGGCCTCACCGTTTGTTCCGTGGCAGCGTTTTCGATCCCAGCCTGCAGCATCAGGTCGTTGACATTCTTCTGTAGGTCCTCGATCCGACTCCCCATTTCTTCCAGTTCAGTGTTAAGGAGAGCTGCATGCAGAGAACCCCACCCCCCGCAAAAGCCCTCAAAGACCCTGCTTCCAATGGTGCCTCCCGACCAGGTGACCCTGCACCAAGGCCCTGGCAGTGCCACTTGTGACACGAGGGAGTCAGAGGCCGAGTGGACTCACCTGACTCACGTCCGCAGGTACCTGCTGGGGTTTCGTAGTGTGTCTGTATCCTTGGCACTGTGGGCTCAATTCCGCGAACTTGGCTCCTCCAGTGCGGACGCAGACTTGGGAACGTGAGGTCGTCTGGTATGTTTTCGTCGTAAGCGAACTCCAACAGGTATGTGAAAGGTCATGGGAATGAACCGAGTTTACGGTTATCATGCCAAATCTCCTTCCCTGTGGGCGCCCGTCTCCAGAACCAGACATCGCACGGTGGTGGTTCCACGTGCAAACACTTTGCATACAGCTTTTGAGGAACGAATTTGTGTGAATTCTGCTCACACTGTCAGGTCTTAGGGCAGCTGCTCCCCTTGTCTGGATTTGCTCAGACTGGAAGCAAACATTCTACCTTAATTCTGTTTGAATTCATGTCTTAACAAAGCAGTGAGCCGATCAAGTGATAAAGCACAAACATACATAGGGCCAGCTGCCTGTGTTGGGGCCCACCCTGTCACGCCTGCGGGTTTGAGTGTGGTAGGGTTTGAACGCCGTCCAGCAGGCCGCCCGGCTTCCCTGAGGGCTTGGTGGGACAGACCTGTGGGCCGCGTTGTTCGTCCTTGCCACACGATTGCCTGTCCTGCCGGTCAGGCAGGAAGAACTTACCTGTGGGTGCCGATTACACCCAGGATGCCACGTAAAGACATGAATGTGAACACCAGGAAGTCCTAGGTCCACAATTACCCACTAGAAAGGTATTCCGTGATGATGTATCAGCCCAGAAGCATCACAGCATTTGCTATAAGAAAAGGATATTTCTGAGGTTCAGTGCTGCAGTCAGAGCTTGAAAATGTTCTTGGAGTTCCTGGAAGAGATTTTCTGCCTGAAATAATGAACCATAAGACAAGAGTATAAGTTTACACTTCGGCGTAGGCACCTTGAGCATCGTGGGCAGAACCAGCCACATACAGTGAGTTGGGTTTTGTCAGGGTGCCAAGGCCTTTACATTCAAAAGGGCAGCAGTCTTTCTGGCCAACGGGGCTGGGTCAGTGAGAGCCAAGTGCGTGACCCACTGGGGAGCAGGCCCAGCCCCAGCCCCAGCTCAGACAGGTGCCCCAACGGGGTCATTGGCCTGAACATCAGCTCTGGAACTATCACGTGTCTTGAAGACAACACAGAGAAAGTCATAAACCGCAGGCGCCATCTGTACATCATCTGACACCTTTTTCCCAAGACACAAGATTCTGCCTTTGACCCTGGCTTGCCGGGTCTCGGGGTCTCTGCGGGGGCGGGTTTCTGAGCCCCTCGGAGGTGCGGTCAGCCACCCGCGACCCGCCCCCAGTTCCCGCCCAGGAGGGGCTCCAGCACCGAGGCAGGGCGGGGTCCCCACTCACCGCGCTTCGCAGCGCCTCCCCGCCCGGGGCTTCGGGCCCCCGCGCGTCCATGTGGCCCCCGGGAGCGTCTGCGGCCTGGCGGCCCTGGAGGTCAGGGCGGCTGTCCCGGCGTCTGGTCCCGCAGCGTGGGCGCGGGCGGGGCGGCGGAGGGGAGCGCGCACCTGGGAGCCTGCGCGCCGCCCGAACTCCTGGGCGTGTGGCGCTGGGGACGCCAGCAGCTGCCGGCGTCCGGGAGGGGCGGCTCCGTCCCTGAGGTCACGGGCCTTGTCCCGGGGCGGAGGCCCAGGTCTGAGTGGATCCGCAGCTCTGGTTTCTTCGTTTCCCTGCATCAGAGATGAGCAAGGTGGCCGTGGACGTCATTCTTACAGAATATACGCGACATAAAACCGACCTTCATTACCACTGTTGAGTGCACAGCTCAGTGGCTTTAAGCAGAGCCACAGTGCTGTGCTGCTGCCACCACCGGCCACCACAGGACTCTCATCTCACAGACATTGTCCCCCGTTCAACTCACACCCCGCCCCCAGCCCCGCACCTCCCTCCGGCTCTACCTCGCACTGGGTCACCTTTCTAACAGGGGGATCAGCCCTGTAATCGCCCGTTCAGATGACAGGAAACTGCCATCCGAATCGCGTCCAGGCCTGTGGCTCTGTTCTGTGACCGGCACCTGCATCTGGATTTTGATTTTATTGGCTGTCGGGAATGGTAGCCTCGCCTCCCCCTCCCCCGGCGCCCTCCAGGGTCTGGACTGGGGCTGTGGGTCACTTCGCGGGTGGGCTCCCAGGTATGGCTTTAGCCCCCGCTGGACTCCAGCCCGGTGAGGCAAGACCGTGCCTGCCCAGGTCACCCCCGGGCCCCGGGGCCTAGCTCAGCAGCAGCACTTGGGTTGCCCAATGTGTGAAACACGGCCACACGTGCAAAGACGTGCAGCATCATTTGTCATCGGGAGAACACAAGTCAAAACCACGCTGAGGTCCCCGTGACACCGTCATGGCTGCAATCACAACGCAGAGTGTCGGCGAGGGGGCGGGAAGCTGGAGCCTCACGCGTCGCCGCCGGGGACGGCAGCCTGCAGCGCTGTGAAAAGCTAGATATAAAGGTGCCGTGTCACCCCGATTCCACCTTTCTGTGTCCACCCAAGAGGAACGGCACCACGTGCCCAGCAGGAACGCGCACACAAACGCTTATGCAGCATGATTCACACGGCGGGGCTGGGAGGAAGAACCCGTGTCCACCACGGACGAGGCGACTGGGTGGCCAGCACGTGGTGTCCCCTGCGGTGCAGTGTCACCAGCCGTGAGGAGGAGTCAAGCGCGGACGTGAGCCTTGGCGACATCACACTCGGGGAGAGAAGCCAGTCCCAAAGGCCACGTTGCAGACTCGATTCGTGTGGAACGGGCACCGATGGCGATGCACAGACACAGCGGAGGCGGCTGCCGCGCGCCGTGGGAGAGGCTGATGAAATGCTGGGGTGCTTTTAGGACGGAAATGGTCTCAAATAGATAGTGGCGATGGTTGTACAACTGTTGAACTGTTCACTTTAATGGGGTGGATTTTGTGGTCTGTGAATTATATCTTAATAAAGCTGTTCAAATAACTTTTTTAAAAATGGGTATCGGCGACATCACACTCGGGGAGAGAAGCCAGTCCCAAAGGCCACGTTGCAGACTCGATTCGTGTGGAACGGGCACCGATGGCGATGCACAGACACAGCAGAGGCGGCTGCCGCGCGCCGTGGGAGAGGCTGATGAAATGCTGGGGTTGCTTTTAGGACGGAAATGGTCTCAAATAGATAGTGGCGATGGTTGTACAGCTGTTGAACTGTTCACTTTAATGGGGTGGATTTTATGGTCTGTGAATTATATCTTAATAAAGCTGTTCAAATAACTTTTTTAAAAGATGGCTATTTTGCCATTTTCCATGTCTTTTTAGCATCTGTCTCTTTTCCTCCGAGAGGGGCTGCGGTGGGAGGGAGCGCTGTGTGGACACTGGAGTGGCCGATGGTGAGGGACATCTCTGTGCTACTTAAGGCAGAGGGCGGGGGATGGGGGGGCCCAGGAAAGCAGCCTCACTGCCGATGGTCTCTGTGGGTCCTCCCTGCCCCCCAGTGCAGGGCAGACCCACAGGGGCGGGGGCCAGAGGCAGCCTGGCAGCCAACCAAAGCCGGAGGGAGGTGTCTCAGCAGAAGGCAAGGGTTTCAGGGACCAGAGCTCACTCACGTGAAAAGCAGGGGAAAAGCAGGGGAAATTATTTAAGGGGTCACTTTGATGCGGGGCGGGGTGAGCCCTCCCCCCCACCACCCCGAGAGGCAGTGAGGGGCCTTGACCATGTGCAGGAAAGAATCCGAGTGGGTGCCAGAGCCAGAGGCGAAGAACAGTCTGTTAGAGAAGGGAACACGCTCGCCCCATGAGTGAGAGAGGAACCCAACGTGCCGGTGGAGGTCGCTTAAATGTTTTCCTTTCCGGAATCTTCCTGTAGGTCCGCCTGGCTGGCCCCTGGTCTGGCCATGTGCCCGTCACGAGGTCGCGTGTCGGGAGCACAGCACGCTCTGAGCACCACTTGGCTTAAGGTTTAATTCTCATGCTCGTCTCTGTTTCAGTCTCGAAGTCCCACCAGGTTCGTTAGGGCTCCACGTGCAAAGGAATGAGGTTGGGCCCTTACCTAACACCCCATGCAAAAGTCCGCTCAGAATGGATCGCAGACCCGAACGGAAGACTCAAACCATAAACTCGTAGAAGCAAGCAGGGGAAACTTCATGACAATGGGTTTAGCAACGGTTTCTTGGATATGACACCAAAGGCACAGGCAACAAAACATAAACATAGATAAGTTGTACTTCATGAAAATAAAAACTTTTGTGCCTCAAAGGACACTCAATAGAACAAAAAGGCAACCCACAGAATGGGAGAAAAAAATCTGCAAATCACATATCTGACAAGAGACTGATATCCAGAACATTTAGAGAACTAAAACTCAAGAACAAAGAACAGTCTACAGCCACGCCACCCTGAACAAGCCCGATGTCTGAGCTCGGAAGCTAAGCAGGGCCGGGCCTGGTTAGTACTTGGATGGGAGACCACCCAGGAAGACCAGGTGCTATAGGCATAAAAAATAAAAATAAGGGATTGTAAACTGACAAGATCTTTGCAATCTGTGAGGTCAACTAAAGGTTGCCTCCCCTAAAAAAAAAAAAAAAAAAACCGACAAAAAAGCCTGATTAAAAATTGGCGAAGGACTTGAATAGACTCCAAAGAATACATACAAATGGCCGATAAGCACATGGGAAGATGCTCGGCATCAGCAGTCACGAGGGAAATGCAGACCGAAACTTCGAGGAGACAGCTCTTCACGTTCACTAGAAGACCAGTTATCAAATGACCAGAAACCAAGAAACCACAGTGCCGGTGAGGGCGGGGAAGGACTGGAGCTCTCGCACCGCTGGTGGGGGCCGCTGTGGAGGCGGGGATGGCCTTGGAATCATCGTACAATTGCCACATGACTCAGCAAGCCCACTTCCGGGTTCGTGCCCAAAAGAAGCAAAAACAGGGACTTGACTAGACTTGTTCACAGCAGCCAAAAGGAGGGCATGACCCGAGTGTCCATCGACAGACGATGGATAAACAAAATGTGACATGTACACAGAGGAGTATCACTCGGTCTTAAAAAGGAAGTCAGTTCTGATACACGCTGCAGTGTGGGATGGACCTTGAAGACATTATGCCGGACTCGACACCGTGTGCGCGCACTTACATGAAGTACCTAGAGCGTTCTCACTCATGATGAAAGGGAGGAATGCGGTGGGTGCCAGGGCTGTGGGAGGGGCGGGGGTTCGCGTTTAATGGATGCAGAGGTTCAGTTTGGGAAGATGGAAATGTTTTGGAGATGACGGTGGTGACAACTGCACGTGAATGCACTTAATGTCACTGAACCAGACACTGAAATGGTTAAGATGGTAAATTTGATGTTATGTGTTTTTTACCACAATATGTATGTTTTAAGGTGCATCTCCCCAGCTTCACACCCGAGGCTAAGAACCCCGGGACCCAGGATTCTCTCCTCTTT